GTTCCTGTAAACGTTAAAACGCCAAAAAGTTGTGTAACTACACACAGACGCAAAAGGTTTCCAAAAAGCACTGAGAAATGTGAGAGAAAATTTGATAGGGTAGTAAAAGCAAACGGAGGTTTTTCCCACATATCTCAAAAGCGATCATACAATTTTATTTAGGGTGGGAAATTGTCACACAATTTTTTTTTAGTTTCAACGGACAATTTTGCTTTCCTTTTTTTCGGTCTTAAGAAGTAGACGAGATATCCTTAGACATGGTCAGCAGAAACGAGAATAATCTACTCCAGTCCCGTAGACTAATAGAGAGTTCAGTTGGAGTGTCCCTGATGGTCACCCCTCATTGACAAGAACTTGATTAAGGCCGGGGGACACAACGAACCAAATTTTGTGAAAACATCAAGAAAGATGAGGTCGATAGTCCGCTTGCAAATAATGTAAATAACAGATCCTCATATCAGAAACCAACTTTATATGTTATTATTCTTCAAAATACTATATTCCTTCCGGGTATAGGTGACCATGGCTCTCCACGGCTTCCATTTCTTTATTATCTGTTGTGACCAAGTATATTGTTAAAGAATAACAAAACAAGAGGTTGCAGATAAATAGTGTATTGAACAGAAGTGTGTTACACGACTTGGGAGTGTGTGTCGGTTGACCAGCGTTCAGTCTATATTTCCCACGACGCCTACTTTTTCCTACTACCTTTATAGTAAGTGGAAGAGTCCACAATAGCCTCATTAGAGGGAAGACACCACAACAGTATCCGAGAATTCCCATGGCATCTGGACAAAGATAATGGAGTAATTTGTCACTGCCTTCTCCACAGTTAGGAATTATCAATTTCCTTGACTGAATGTAACCCATGGACTCTAGTCTACCCGTTTAACTGATAAATGAGGTAGAGAAAGAAATGCATGCCTTTCTCAAAGACATTTGTGGGAAGTGATTTGGGGAGAAGAGACTAGACCCAAATTTGAACCCGGCTCGCCGATCACACTTTCATGGCTCTTCACATCTTCCTATCCGTTGTTGATCTTAGCAGCTTTTATTCCTTTATATTATCACTCTCTGTTCTGATATTCATTTTTTTAAGCATATCACCCCAGGCAAGGCGAGAGTGATCCTTACAGAGGATTAAGACCAAGAGTAAAGAGGGTGTTTGGAGAAAGGATGTAGAGAAAGACGGGGATCAGGATCAAGGCATAAGAAGATGTCGATTGTCATTACATTTGAATATTTGAAGATTATAGCTATCAGGGAAGCAAGAAAGAGGAAGGGAGTTTCACTGTCGGGAAGTGCGAGATAAGAAACTGTTGGAGTAGAAAAGACGGCTACATTTAATCGTTTCGACAGTGAAAGAGTGGACAGTGCTGTCAACCTAGTGTCACTCTTAAATTCATTCAGTTTGGGAACCAGCGAAAGTTGCTCGTCTGAGCAGTTGCCGTGAAAGTATTTGTAGAAAAGACAGAGGGAAGCAATCGTTAAACATGTTTCTCGCTATTTCCTTCTGTTTATGGAACGCCATTATAAATTGCAGAAAAAATTCAACACATTTAAGTAATATCACGAAAACTCAAAATTGATTCATTTTTGTTCACAAAGTCATCTCCAGATTTAATTTTTCACATTCACATTTATTAACCAATCAGCAACTTTATGTCAAACGCTTTTAAGACCTTTGAAATTTCAGACAAGCATATGTGTTGTCTGCTACGAAACTTGAAAGCTCACTCTAGAAAATGATCCACAATATTTTCCCTCCTAAAAAAATTATATATTTTAAAATTAGAAATACTATTTATTAACCAATAAAACCTCTGAATTTAGCAAATTTAACTTTTAGATCCTTGGAACATTTTCTCTTTTATGAATACAATCGCGTAAATTTGCAAATTTAGTATTTAGTTTTTTCGGTGAACCTTTGACCAGGTGTCTACACATCTAATTACTCAAACCTTCCGTCTATACAATTACTTAACCTTCACATATTTATCGTATAACGCATTACAAAATCCTAGTGGCTTTAAAGTAAATTAAGCAGCACACAAAGAACATAGGAGCGGAGTTATGTAAACAATATGTTAGTAGTAGTTATAACATTGCCTGCTGGCATGCTGACTACTAGAAATTACACGCATTCATAAAACAACGTAAATCCGTGACACTCTCCTTATGTAAACACATTTCGTTTCTTCTCTCATACTAAAACAATTTATTTTGTAGAGTTGTTCATAACAAAAACAAAAATATTTTGACGAGATTTTGTTTCAAAAAGATTCTTTGTAATTCGTTTCTTTCAACTTGAAGGAAAACAAGTGCTCAATAATAATTTTTATTTTTTATTTAAATTTGTATAGTTGTGTTTGAATGTTGTTTATTTCATCGCTTTTCATACGCTTAGCCCTCGACATGTTATTCTCTCCCACTTGCCTTAGGTGCGTTTCCAAGCCTTCTTTCCTAATCAGATATCCGAGAAATTCACATTCAAATATCAAATAAGAGTCATTTAAATTTTTGCATTTTGTAAATTTTTTCTACAAGAATTATATAAGTGAAAATATCTCTAAACTCTAAACTCCTGGCTTTAGTTTAAACTGATACATTATTTTGTCACATATGTTAACTTTATTCTTAAAGCTCATATTTTTTATTCAGAGAAAGAAATAGAAAGTTTCCAACATGTTTTCATGAAAATTCTACTTTCCAAAATTATAGTACATTATTATAGATGTTAAAAAGTAAAACATTAATTTAAACTGACGCCAGGGGAATTGAAGTTAAACTGTCGTTTGCTTTTTTTCCATATATTTTGTCTATATGGCCTAAAGTTCGTATTTTATTGATATCAGATGAAAACTTGGAAAACTTCCAACAAATTTCAATGAAATTTTCACTTTGTAATTTGATTGTTTATAATTATTATTTAGATATATTGGAAAACAGGCAGCGTCAGTTTAAACAGAAGGATATGGCACCACGATTTATTCAAGGGGTCTCAATGTATAGACATTTTCAATATTTACTAATAGGATGTCAAACTACATGAAAGATTTTTATTTGAAAATAGCAGACAAGCCCACTTATTTTGAGCCTTGGCACATGTTCAGATTGATTGCTCTTCTGGCCCAGAAAATAATGCCAATTGATTTTACAGTCCTTTTAGAAAATAAACATTGCACTCGGTGTCAAAGCTGGAAATTGATGAGATAAGTATTGACACCAAAAACCAGTTTCAAAACTTTTATCACTTTTTGAGCATTTAGTTTTAAATATCGTCTGCAGCAATGTCGTCGAGGAATACTTAATTGCCACAGGTTTTTTCTTACAAACTAACCTCCAAATTTTACTATTTAAAGAATAATCAAAGTTAATATCTTTTTTATATGATACATTGAATGGAAAATATATTTAAACCAGAATTCTAATCACAATAAGCAAAATATGCATTTTTTTTACTGCATTCGAAAATAAAGCTTTGTGTTAAAAAATTGTAATATCTTCTCTATGAATATGATTAGTTAGATCATTTATTAGATGATAATTAATAAAATCCAAAAAATAGATAAAAGTGCATCATACCATAATACTGCTGGGCACAAATTATGGGACAAAATGTTTTAAATTTGCATTGTTTATAGAAAATCATACTAAAACTGCAGTACTGTATGACATAATTCAGTAAATTTCCCTTTAAAGTAAATGAAGGTCTTATTTGATGGCACAATGATTTAGTAATACTGTACTTTTGTCATGCATCTTGTCCATATACAATTTGTAAAGTTTTATTAAATTATAAATTTTATAAGGTTGTGCTATAAAGACTTTCACTGATCACGGGATTAAAATTCCAATGCTACGATTTGGAACTTAAACTTAATCTTTTAAACTCGTTTCTTCAAGAACCGAGTTCGAATTCCAGTCGAATCCATTACATTCACTTACGTGATAATAACCTTGCGAAAGGTATGAATCTTCTTCTTCTCCCCCAAGCTATGGGTAAATAGCAGGACAGAACAACGAACGAAATAAAGGGTTCAGTTCGACATTCCAAACACCTGAAGAAGGCCGGAGCGTACAACGGTAGAAACGTTGGGATAAATATGGCAACAAAGATGAGGACAATAGTTCGAATAATGTAAATAGTGTGATTCCTCTAATATAAAACATTTCCAAACGGCTCTACTTCAAAATGCAATGTGCGTTATTCATTGAAACATCGATCTCAAGAACTGCTTGCTAAAAAGATTTCCTTGGAGATCGATAGAAAATTTTTATCAATGTTTCTGCTTTCGTGGAGATTGTCGACATCCGCCATCTTTTAGAATGATGCGAGCGGACATTTTGAAATGTTACCTCTTCTTCAAACTAATTCGAGCAATGATGAGTTGCGTTGGCGGATCTGTATGAAACGCTATTCTAAATTTTCCTTCCGCTTCAGGTACATCCAGTAGGAATTGAGGTTGAAAATTATTTTTTATTTATAATCAAGTGCATCTGAAAATAAGAAAAAAAATATTTAAGGCTTTGTGAATCATAAAATTATATATACATTTTTAGAACGGCTCTACATGTTACAGCCATGTAAAACCATATATACATAATCTTGAACTGCCATTCACATACAAACTTTGGACGATTGTCCACACTATAACCATGGTCAACATTTTTGTTGAACGTTCCACAGTCGTGGCCTTGCGCCCGACTAGACAAATCTTAAACTCCTTATTGTTACGTATATAATAATTTTAATGCATCGAATATGGAAATAATTTGTGTGATTATAAATGTTTTAAATTAGAGGTAAAGTCTTTCTCCGGGGGTATCTGGGTTAGTCAAACACAAGGTCAAACCAGCGGTGTACCTTAATGAAGCATGGCTGTTGCAGTGATGTGAAATTACTCATACAGAAGACATTTTTGATATCGATATATATCGAACACAATTGATGTAAGAGCATAAGGTCATCAGTCTGGGGTGCCTAGTGAGAAACGAATTTAGAGACAGTATTCAGATAGAGAGAGAAGGGTGATAATAAGAGAGATAAAAAGAATAGAGAGACTGTATATAATATTGAGAAAGACAGAGAGATATAAAAAGAAGGTGTAAATGGTAAAGGCGAATTAAGAGACAGTATATAATGTTAGAGATAAAGAGGAATGGGGTTAAAGAGAGAGAGGGTTTAAAGAGAGAGAAAGGTAGAGAAATGTAAATAAAGATGAATTTAGAGACATTACATAAAAAGAGATAGAGAAAGATGGTCAGTGAGAGGGAGAGGGACAAATTTCGAGAGAGTATATAAAGTCGAATGTAAAGGAAAAAAATATAAACAAATAAATAAATAAACAACGAAAAAGGTAGAAAAGAAAGAAAGAAAGAAAGAAAGAAAGAAAGAAAGAAAGAAAGAAAGAAAGAAAGAAAAGAGAAATAGTTGAGAAAATACCAGAAGAAAATCGAAGGAAAATATGAATGAGTGAAAGAGCGGGAGAGAGAGAGAGAGAGAGAGAGAGAGAGAGAGAAGGACAGAAAGGAAGAAAGAAAGAGAGAGAAGAGAAAAACAAAAAAAGAAGAAAGATATCAACTAGGAAAGAGAGAGAGAGAGAGAGAGAGAGAGAGAGAAAGAGAGAGAGAAAGAGAGAGCGAAAAGGACAGAGAGGAAGAAAGGGAGAAAGAAAGAAAGAAAGAGAGAAGAGAAAAACAAAGAGAAGAAGATATCAACTGGGAGAGAGAGAGAGAGAATAGATAGATACCTGGAAAGACATATACAGGTCAGTCAGTCCGTTATGTGCAATGCGTGATACACGCCTCGGCGATCATGTATCTTTCGATACATGATTGACGAGGTAGATGTTTTTTTTCCCACAGTAAGTTTCCATTTCTTTCTGTGGTAGACCAGTTGCCATTCAAGGTTATAGAACTCGGTCTGTCCTGCTATTTACCCATAGGGTGGGGGAGGAGAGAAGAAGAGGAAGGGGATTAGCACGACTTATTCGACTGGAATTCGAACTCGGCTCACCGATTTCTTAATCCGAGCCGCTATCCATTACTCTGCTGTGCCTCCTATATACGAATAGAGAACTATTATGGATAAAAGAGTAAATAAATAAATATGGGGGCTATTTAAAAAGCAAATGAACGAGTGACGCTATTTTCATTAGAAGAAAGAAAGAAAGAAAGAAAGAAAGAAAGAAAGAAAGAAGGAAAGAAAGAAAGAAAGAAAGAAGGAAAGAAGGAAAGAAGGAAAGAAAGAAGGAAAGAAGGAAAGAAAGAAGGAAAGAAAGAAAGAAAGAAAGAAAGAAGGAAGGAAGGAAGGAAAGAAAGAAAGAAAGAAAGAAGGAAAGAAGGAAAGAAAGAAAGAAAGAAAGAAGGAAGGAATGAAGGAAAGAAAGAAAGAAGGAAAGAAAGAAAGAAAGAAAGAAAGAAAGAAAGAAAGAAAGAAGGAAAGAAAGAAAGAAAGAAAGGAAAGAAAGAAAGAAGGAAAGAAAGAAAGAAAGAGGAATAAAAGAAGTTATAAACAGACAAAGGAGGAAGATAGGGAAAAGAAGGTTTGGTTGAAGAAAGAAGAAAAAATAACGACAGAATGAATGAAGAAAGGAGTTAAAAACCAGACAGAAAAAAAGTGAGAAAGCGAGAGAATTCATCATGCTTAATTGTCAGAAAAATATGTGTGTGTGTTAAAGAGAAATATATATATATATAGAGAGAGAGAGAGAGGGAGAGAGAGAGAGAAAATTTAAGAGAAAAAGAAAAGAAAGAATGAAAATAGTAAAGAAGGACAAATGAAAATAAGAAAAAGAAAATAACCAAAGAAAGAGAGTAAGAATGAATACAAAGAATTGTGGAAGAAAAAAGAAACGAAATAATGAATGAAGGAAGGAAAAAGAATGAAGGAAAATGAAAGGAACGAGTCGACAAATAAAAGAGAAAGAATATTTGGTAAAAAAAAAAGTGGCAAAAAAGAAAGGGAATGGCACTGAAGAATTTGGTTTTTAATGGAAGTTGGTTGTTAAAGTGATGCCAAATTGGCGAATGAAGAACAAAATTGACAGCAAAAAAAAGTAATTTAGGAAAAAAAAAAAAAGAAGAAAAAAGTAATGAAGGCGCGAAAATAGCGGTCAAAACAGGTACCTGAAGTGACATATTCCCGCGGCTTCTTTCAGCTAATCAAGTCCCCGTCAGAAGGCCTTCGCCCTGTAAACTGGCCGTAAATTGGTTGGAAATGTATCGTCCTCCCGGCTTATTCTCGTACAGTTCTCGTCCGGGCGGCTTGTTCTCGTACAGTTCCTTTGGCGAAGACATTAATATCCAAATACTGGCTGTTTGGCACGCGTCTTGAAAGGTCGCGGTCTGGAAAGGAAGGTTTTAGCATTTGTCAATCTGGAAGGTATTTGGCACGGACTACGATGCAATTGGTGCCAGAGGTTGGTGAGTTGGGGTGGGATCGGGGGGGTGTTTGGGGTGCGGATGCACGTAATCTGATTGATTGCACCTGAAGAAAGCGGGTTTGACGAGCAGATGGAGAAAGAGAGACAGTAATAAAGACGAAAGGAGAAGGAATGAAAGGTGATATGAAAGAAACAAGTAAAAAGGAAAGTCAGAGAGAGAAAGAGAGAGAGAGAGAGAAAAGAGAGAGGGAAAGAGAAAGAGAGAGAGAGAGAAAGAAAGAGAAAGAGAGAGAGAAAGAGAGAAAGAGAAAGAGAGAGAAAGAGAGAGAAAGAAAGAGAGAGAGAAAGAGAGAGAGAGAGAGAGAGAGAGAGAGAGAGAGAGAGAGAGAGAGAGAGAGAGAGAGAGAGAGAGAGAGAGAGGTGAATTTGACCAAGAAACAAAATGGTGACAAACAAGAATTCAAAATATTAAAAAGTGATGGGGTGTAAGGCAGAATAGCGTAGTAGAAAATACATATTTTTGTTACACACACACACACACACACACACACACACACACACATATACAAATATTTATATATATATACATATATATGTAAACATATATATATATACACATATATATATATATACACACATATATATACATATTAAAATATATATATATATATATATATATATATATATATATATGTACATATATATATACACACACATTTATATATATATGTATTATTTTAGGATATTGCAACAAAAAATATGTAAGAATTGCAGTCGTGTTTCAACGCATAACGATGCTTCTCCTCAGGCGATTGTAAATTAGTGGCGAGTGAACGATTAATTTTGTGAACGATTAATTTGTTTCAAAACCAAAATACATCCTCATTTAAAAAAAAAAATATAAGGCCTGAGGGCTTTGCCCTGATCAACCAATCGAAAATGACCTACGTTAAATTTAAACTAAACGAGAAAGAAAACCTAGACACACACACACACACACACACACACACACACATATATATATATATATATATATATATATATGAAAACCTGTATAGATAGATAGATAGATAGATATTCAGTCGTATGGATATTAGTTTGCGACCCTGTTTTTCAAACTCATATTCAGTTGTATACTGAATATGTTAGCTTTGTCACTGATATTGAGCACTTTCCAATAAATAATGTACATATAAAATAATATATATATATATATATATATATATATATATATATATATATATATATAATAGAAAGAGGTTGTAGTGGTTCCAACGAGAGAAAAGTATGTATATTAAAAAGAAGAGAAGAGAGGTGCCGCAAACGTTTTTGGTTGTAATGTGGATTTATTTAGAAAAAAATATTATGCTTTGTTTTCCATAATTTTACTCCAAGTGTTTCTGGTCTCGCAACCGTCTTCAGGTAAAAGCGGAGATTTCCACATATTATTAAAAATAATTAATTTTTTCCTTATGTTTTTCAATGTTAAATATTCTCGATATGAGACATTCTCTGTTTTTGTGTTAGTAATCCGAATTTCTTTCTTGAATTGGCAATGAAGAGTTCTGCGCGAAGGGTCATAAAACAATTAAGGTTGGTCCAAGAGAAATGATGAATTACTTATCGGCATTTTATCTTTTAATGTTTTACTGACCCCTGTGTGTCCTTGGATCTGTTTCCATTTTTGTGTGTTTCTGTCAGCATGCGTGTATATATGCGTGCGTATATTTCCCCTCCATACATATACTGTCTTACTACGAGGAATTAGTAAATTCATTTGTACATATACACGCATACACACACATACGCACATACACACCATTCCACCATAAGGAATCAGTACATACACACACAATAGATAGATATAGATATAGGTATATGGAATAACGATATATACATTTTATATATCAAGAACAGTTTTGGAGGGAATAACACACAAAATAAATTAGTTGTTCACCGTAACTAGACTGACCACAATTTTGACCTAAAAAATGTTAAAAGAGGAAATAATTCACTACGACGAAAATGTTTAGAATGTGTTTTAATCGCTTTTATTCATCCATAGTAAATTTGTGTCCACATTCTTATAACGTTTCACTATATTTGCCTGATCTTTTGTTATCACAATGTCGCATATTTAATAGAGTTGATGGAAAGAAGAAAGAAAATAAAATAAATAAAAGCGACTGGATTATATGACACGTTCGGTGGAGGCGGGACGTATTCAACAAAAAATCGAAAATTGCTTTTTTCACTGCAAATTATTCATTAAATCATATCCAAGTATTTTACAAAATACTAGAGCCGATTACACAATATTTCAGGCTCAATTTAGGTTTAGAGTTCGTAACCATGCAATGAGATGAGGTATCATAAACCGTAGATTGGTTTGTGGAATATCATTACATTATTGTTACACAATTATATTGATATCATTAAGGTTTTTTGTCAAAACATTTTATTTTTGGTTGTATATTAATTTAAAATATTTCTTTTTAGAGGCTTTATTTTTCAAATGGAATAAGATCATTCTAAATTTCAGAATTTCACTATTGCCCATCAAAATGACTGGAAGAAAGCGATCTTAAAACGACAATTAAGGTAACAAAGCGTAAACGAAATAGCTCCAGTTTGTTCAATTTAGGAAACTTAGCATTACAGCCAAAGTATTTTAAAATGCTGCCAATGACGAAGAAGAAAATGAAAAATACCTAACAACAAATCGAATATACCAGCAAAATTTATATTATTTTTATTTATTTGTTATGTAACTAAATAAAATAATTGTCAATAATGTTTCCATAAAACTTTTTTACTGTAATAAATTCTTAATAAATATTATAATTATTTTACTTAAGTGTAAGTTAATTCTACATTTACAATTCCTTATGGCTAACCATGAAAAGAAATGTTGATCAACACTGCCTAAAACCTTTAAGCGCGTATTACTGCAAAATTATCAAATGTTGAATACGCCCCTCCTCCTCCGAACACGTCATATAACCTAAACACATTATTGAAAAAAAAAAAAAAACCCCAAAAACAACAAAACCAAAGCAAATTATTAAATAAAAAAATAATAATTTAAAAAAATATTTTTCAAAATTTAAAATTCCCAGTGTCTCTCGTTCAATGCATAGGTGTTGTCGTATTAACGTAAACAAACCTTGACCGATGAAATCCTAAGTGACTTTTAGTACTTTACAACGTCATCAGAAGCATATTGTGTCTGTGTACATAGTTTGGAAAATAAAATATTTCTATATCTCTAGATACATATATAAAAAATGCATGCATTCAGTTAAAAGTAAAAAGAAAAAAATTATCCTTGATAATGGCTAAAAATATAGCTGAAATCATTTGGACATACACAAAAATTCGGATAATTTCTAAATAATTTATGTCCAGAAAAGAAAAAAAAATATGAGAACACAAGAGAAAAATTAATAAATAAAAAACTTAGCCGCAGTACATTTTTCGGACTATTGTCCTCATCTTTGTCTTCATATTTATTACAACGTTTCGGCCGTTGTACGCTCCGGTCTTCTTCAGGTGATTGGAATGTCGAAGTGAACCATTTATTGCGCTCACTGGGGTAGACTGTTCTTTATCCACTGTGCCACGTGTCCCTACTGGATAAAGGCGTTAGTTAGATCCAGTGAAATTACCCAAATAGTGTGAGTTCAATACCCGGTTAAGGCAGTGGGGAACTTTCAGAGGGAAATTAACAAGGAGATAACTGATAACTGATATCCATTAAAAAATGTAATATATATGGCGACAAAGATGAGGAAAATAGTCCAAATAATGTAAATAGTGTACATAATACCTCATCTCAGAAATATAGACAGATACTGAAAGGCCGAAACGTTTTAATAAATATGGCGACAAAGATGAGGACAATAGTCCGAATAATGTAAATAGTGTACATAATACCTCATCTCAGAAATATAGACAGATACTGAAAGGCCGAAACGTTGTAATAAATATGGCGACAAAGATGAGGAAAATAGTCCAAATAATGTAAATAGTGTACATAATACCTCATCTCAGAAATATAGACAGATACTGAAAGGCCGAAACGTTGTAATAAATATGGCGACAAAGATGAGGACAATAGTCCGAATAATATAAATAGTGTACATAATACCTCATCTCAGAAATATAGACAGATACTGAAAGGCCGAAATATTGTAATAAATATGGCAACAAAGATGAGGACAATAGTCCGAATAATGTAAATAGTGTACATAATACCT